CCCTGTCGGCACCAACAGGAGTGAACAGGGAGAAACCCCTTGGATTTGGGGAAATCAGGGAAAATGGGGAAAAGGAGACACATTCCCTGTCGGCACCAAGGGGAGAGAACAGGGAGAAACCCTTGGATTGGGGAAAATAGGAAAAGGAGACATTCCCTGCCTCTCCTGGTGTCCACAGCAGATCCGGGGCTGCTCATCCCCTCAGGAATCCCGGGGATCCACCACAACCGAGTTATCCAAGCCTGGAACACCCAGAGGGTGGAGGGAAAATCCCCCGGTGCCCAGAGCCCCCATCCCACCCACGGATCCAGGGATACACAAACGTCGGGAAGCACAACTCCCTGCCAGGCCGTTATTCCCATCCCCGGTGCCGCGGCCATTCCCGGGAATTCCAGCCGGCTTTTCCCTCTCCCGGCTCTGTCGGCGACGCTCCGATCCCGGCTGGATCCCGGCCGGAGCCCGGTTGGATCCCGGTGGGAGCCGGGCGGGCGCGTCCCGGCAGCGCAGAGCCGGGTGGAGCCCGGGAATGTTTCTTGTGGATGCAGGAGCTGCCCTGGATCCCGGGGGGTGCCCACCCATGGCGGTGGGAGCGGTGCCAGGCGGGAATTCCCCTCTCTGTGCCTTTCCCTCCTTGGAACTGCGGGAGGACGGGCCCGGTGTGTCCGGGCTTGAACGTCTGGAGAGCGCCGGGAGCTGCCGGGATGGGGAGGGAGCGGGGAGGGAGCTGGATCCGTGTCCTGCCGGGATCCTTCCCTGCTGCCCGCGGCACCGGCACCGAGCTGGGATGGTCCCAGTCCAGTCCCTGTGGATGTTCCCAGTCCAGTTCCAGGAGATGTTCCCAGTCCATCCCCTGGGGACATTCCCATTCCATCCCTACTGGATGTTCCCATTCCATGCCCTGGGGATGTTCCCATTCCATCCCTACTGGATGTTCCCAGTCCAGTCCCTGGGGATGTTCCCAGTCCATCCCCTGGGGATGTTACCAGTCCATCCCCTGGGGATGTTCCCATTCCATCCCTACTGGATGTTCCCAGTCCATCCCCTGGGGATGTTCCCAGTCCATCCCCTGGGGATGTTCCCATTCCATCCCCCAGGGATGATCCCATTCCATGCCCTGGGGATGTTCCCATTCCATCCCTACTGGATGCTCCTGGTCCATCCCCTGAGGATGTTCCCAGTCCATCCCCTGGGGATGATCCCATTCCATCCCTACTGGATGCTCCCGGTCCATGCCCTGGGGATGTTCCCATTCCATCCCTACTAGATGTTCCCCTTCCATGCCCTGGGGATGTTCCCAGTCCAGTCCCTGGGGATGTTCCCAGTCCAGTCCCTGGGGATGTTCCCATTCCATGCCCTGTGGATGTTCCCAGTCCATCCCCCGGGGATGATCCCATTCCATCCCTACTGAATGCTCCCGGTCCATCCCTAGGAGATATTCCCAGTCCATCCCTAGGAGATGTTCCCACTCCACCCTCAGCCTTGGGAAAACTTTGGAAAGCCCCCCCCCCCCCCCAAATTTCCCCCTCCCCAAGAACCGAAGCCCAGCAGCACCAACTTTGTTAAAAGGTTTATTTAACTTTTTAATTTGAGGTAAAATACTTTTTGTTTTCTTTCAACTTCCATAACAAAATACAGAGCTATCAGATACCCCTGGAAAAAAATATGTATATTATACATATATTTCTATAACATTACATCATATATATATATAATATATATATGCAACCTTTTTTTTCTTTTTTTTTTGTTTCCTCGAAGACTTTATAGAAAGTGGAACGTCTAAAGGCACTGCACAATGGAGTATTTAACTACTTTACATGGTATGTACATGGACACACACGTTCAATCCCAGGCTCTGGGTTATGTATCCTCACTAATCCCTGCGGAATCAACTCCAGGAAAGTCAAAGAACATGCCTCAGGAAAAGTGATTTTCGAAAAAAAACCTCAAAAAAACCCCCTTTTCTAACTTAATAAAGTCGCCTTAAAAGCACTAAAGAAATCAATGTTTTTTCTCCTCGTTAAACTGATTATGATTATTTTCAGCAAACCAAAAGAAAATTCCTCGTTGTGTTGGTTTTGTTTTTTTTTAAAACCCCACCAGGATCCAGAAGACAAAAAAATAGAGAGAGAGAGAGAGAGAGAGAAAAAAAAACCCAACGGAAAAAATTAGCTTTAAAAACATAATTATGGAATAAATAAAAAAAAACAACCGAGGGACAACCGAGCGAGGGCCCCGTTAATGCTCCTGGAAAGGGGCTCTTCTTCCTCCTCCTCTTCTTCTTCCTCCTCCTCTTCCCACCCGGATTTGGGAGGGGGACAGGGCTCTTTGCATCCTCCCCTGTCCCACCTGGATGGTTTGAATTCCCAAAAAAAAATAATAATAAAACCTTGGCCTTGCTGCCGATTGTCCCGTTCAAAAAGTCTCTTTTTTCCCTACGGATTTTCTCTACCAACTAAAGAAAGCTCAAAAAAAAAAAAACAACAAACCCCCAACAAACGAACGAACGAACGAACAAACAGAAAAAAAAAATGGTTTTTAAACAATTAACATGCTCTTGATTAATTCATTACAGGTGGACGTGGAGATCTCAAAACCACTTAAAAACTTTTTTACAAGTTTAAAGATTTTGGCACATCGGAATATATATATTTTTTATTATTTTTTTTGTGTTTTTTTTTTTCTCTTTTAAATCGATTATTTTAAAATGTATTTATAAGCGCCCTCCTCCTCTTCCTCCTCCTCCTCTTCCTCCTCCTCTTCCCAGGCTTTTCCAGGCAACGGGAAGTCCGGTTGGGATCCCGAGGGGGGGGGG